GGGGTGTTTTCACCGAGGTTTGTTACTGCGTAATGAACGCAAGAACAATGAAGATTCTATTGAACCAACTAATCAGTATTGTGATCGTTGTTTTTGTAGTCCTATATGTAATGAATGATTTTATATGAATAAAGTCCTTATAAATTGGGAGGAAAAAAATTTCTTTTTACTAGTTATGCATTCTTCGCCTTTTCAGATAAAAGAAATATTTTACGACCAGAACATAGGAATGAAAAGATAGCTAGGGTAACAATTGCAAATTTTGAACAGCCTGGCTGCAAAGAGTCGCGTCGGTCTAAGTGAAGATTAATGAACCAATTGATTAAACACTCATACAGCAATGCCATCGTTATAAAAATCTATCAATCTCACGTCGTCTCGCATAAATGGAACCTGTAGAAACCAAAACTCTTCTTTCCGCAACGCCGCTTGGGTAGAGCATGATCTTAGGCGGTAACTTATGGATTACTTTTGATGCATCACACTGTGTACTTTGCAGCCAAATTGTTTGTAGAAAACTGAGCAAATGGTCGACTTCTGTCGTGGACCAGGGGTACCTAAGTTGCATTTCTCGCATGTGCGTGTACTTTGCCTTGAAACAAGCGCTTTGCCTTGAAACATGGCCTTTGAAACATCTGTAATTTTATATTATAATACAAATTTTCTATTCAACTAAATGCTAAATGGAAGACAAGAATATATCATCTTGTCAATTTTTTAACTTTCGGTTGTTGTGCGATATTAAAAAGTCGCTGTAATTACTGCATTACTCTTTTTCACTGTTTGTTCACGTTTTTTATGAAGAAGGATTTCTGATCAATCCTGTATGCATTAATTGATCCTGATAAACCATCTGTAAGCCTCTGTGCTTAATTAAAAACAGGTTTTACTGAAGAAAGGATAGAGAAAAGGGAGTTTCATTTGATCATAGAGAATAACGTCTTAACCGCATCATCTTGAAACAGCAATTTAAGGTAATTACTTCGAATAGTTATTATAAAATTCACAGTAGCAACAGAAATATAAAATTTCGAGATGAAAAAGATGAGCTTCTTTGGCATGTATTTCAATAGCTTGTCTGCATCCTTTAGAATTAGAAAAAGCGGTAAGAGCCAGAGAAATCCTTGAAGCTGTTTTTTTTCGCAGTTTACACGAGAAGCTCTGACTATAGTTTTCCCCGCTTATTGTGCTGCAGCTTGCTTGAGCCTGCATAGAAAATGCAATCACAAACCGGTAAAATGGTGGGAAGAAAGAGAGGCTCTCAACAAACACAAGGCGTTTTTGCCCACGATGCAAAAATCCGCTCAACTGGCACCTGTTATTCGATCTTCAGGCTGAGAGCGCTCAATAACTTATGGCGCTGAATCAGCAGCTCCGCATTTCCGCAGCTCGGTCTGCGATCTCGCTTTTGCGTATGGCTGTCTTGGGACTCTTTACCTATATTTACCTATACCTATTGATATTTCTGTTAAAACGTGCATAGGCTCTACTTCTAATAATAGGCGGCATGAACCCTTGATAAATTCGCATGTCGCATCAAAACCGGAAGGACGGACTACTTTTGGTGCCCGAAAAAAAAAACCGGCATTGCATGTATAATTGTAATAATTTAAAAGCCTAGCATTGCATTTAACCCTAGCTCAGCCTCTTGAAATATAGCCATTGTCATTCGTTAAGATCTCTGCTATTTAAGGATTTAACGCTGACTTTATCCGTAATAATTTAATTAATTCGTACTCAATAAGCCTCTGTCGCGTCAACGGATAATTCATAATTTTTTACACTTAACAGCCCTGTGTCTCGTTTGCATTGTTATTAAAACAAGAACCTTTTTAAAAGAAACTCCAATTTCTTCTAATTGCGAATTATACCTGAAAATGAAATTTCCAAGCCTCCGAATTTTGCAATGAGATTAAATTAGTGAACTAAATACCGCTAAATACCGCCAACTCGCGTAACATATTGCATTTTGCAAAGGATTTGCCTTTTGTTTGGACTGCATGATCCCAGAAATCCCCTGCGGATTAGATTCATTTTGAAGGAAAGGTCTGCAGTGAGAAGAGTATTTTATTCTGTATACAACAAAATAACTGTTAAAAGCACGTCAAGGTATCTACCGTCAAATAAAAATTGATATTATTTAGTAGAATCTGATATCATGTAAGGAAGAATGATAGTTATAGTTGAAGGATTAAGTTTCTTTTCAGTTAAAATTACTTCACAAAACTTATAGAGGGAATTAATAACCGAAAAAACCTTCAGAAACTGAATTGCCAAATTGCTTGGTGAATAATTTGAACCTGAACCGAAGCTAAACCCTAGGGAATTTAATCCGAGCATGCATGTGTAAAATAAATTTTGCAATTCTGCAAGACCACCGTAAAAACTCCATTCTAAAAAACCTCCGTGTTTTATATCCTTGGCAGTAACTTATGGATTACTTTTGATGCATGACACTGTGTACTTTGCAGCTAAATTGTTGGTAGAAAACTGAGCAAATGGTCGACTTCTGTCGGGGACCAGGGGTACCTAAGTTGCAATTCTCGCATGTGCGTGTACTTTGTCTTGAAACACGCGCTTTGCCTTGAAACATGGCCTTTGAAACATTTGTCATTATATATTATAATACAAATTTTCTATTCAACTAAAAGCTGAATGGAAGACAGGAATATATCATGTTGCCAACTTCTAACTTTCGATTGTTTTGAGATATTAAAAAGTTGCTGTAATTACTGCATTACTCTTTTCCACTGTTTGTTTATGTTTTTTATGAAGAAGGATTTCTGATCAATCCAGTATGCATTAATTGATCCTGATAAACCATCTGTAAGCCTCTGTGCTTAATTAAAAACTGGTTTAACTGAAGAAAGGTTAGAGAAAAGCGAGTTTCATTTGATCATAGAGAATAGCGTCTTAACCGCGCATCATCTTGAAACAGCAATTTAAGGTAATTACTTTAAATAGTTATGATAAAATTCACATGAGCTTCTTTGGCATGTATTTCAATAGCTTGTCTGCGTCCTTTAGAATTAGAAAAAGCGGTAAGAGCTTGGGAAATCCTTAAGTAAGAGTGTAGCTTGAGCTGGTTTTTTTCGCAGTTTACACGAGAACCTCTAACTATAGTTTCCCCGCTTATTGTGCCGCAGCTTAATTGCTTGTTTTATGAATGAGCCTGCACAGAAAATGCAATCGCAAACCGGTAAAAGGGTGGGAAGAGAGAGGCTCTCAACAAACACAAGGCGTTTTTCCTCCCGATGCAAAAATCCGCTCAACCGGCACCTGTTATTCGATCCTCAGGTTGCATGAGAGCGCTTAATTAAGTCGCTGAATCAGCGGACCAAATCCAGCTCCTGTTTCCCCAGTTCCGCAGCTCGGTCTGCAAAATCGCGCTTTGTGTATCGCTGTCTTGGGACTCTTTACCTATATTTACCTATATATACCTATTGATATTTCTGTTAAAACGTGCATAGGCTCTACTTCTAATAATAGGCGGCATGAACCCTTGATAAATTCGCATGTCGCATCAAAACTGGAAGGACGAACTACTTTGGTTGTCCCAAAAAAAAACGACGAATCGTCAGGCATTGTATAATTGTAATAATTTGAAAGCCTAGAATTACATTTAAATCCAGCTCAGCCTCTTGAAATATAGCCATTGTCATTCGTTAAAATCTCGATAAGTCCTTAGACTTATCGCTGATTTTATCCGTCATAATTTAGTTAATTTTTACTCACAATAAGCCTCTGTCGTGTCAACGGAAAATTCATAGTTTTTTACACTTATCAGCGAGATATTTAGCCCTGGGTCTCGTTCACATTGTTATTAAAACAAGAACCTTTTAAAAGAAACTCCAATTTCTTCTTAGTATCAACTACCTGAAAATGAAATTTTCCAAGCCTCTGAATTTTGCAATGAGATTAAATCTGTGAACTAAATACCGCTAAATACCGCCAACTCGCGTAACATATTGCATTTTGGAAAGGATTTGCTTTTGTTTGGACTGCATGATCCCAGATATCCCCTGCGGATTAGATTCATTTTCAAGGAAAGATCTGCAGTGAGAAGAGTATTTTATTCTGTATACAACAAAATAACTGTTAAAAGCACGTCAAGGTAACTACCGTCAAATAAAAATTGATATTATTTAGTATAGAATCTGATGTCATGTCAGGAAAATAGTTATAGTTGAAGGATTAAGCTTCTTTTCCGTTCAAATTACTTCACAAAAGTTGGAGGGAATTAATGAACGAATGAATTTTCGAACCTTTGGAAAGTGAATTGTGAATTTGCTTGGTAAATAAAAATAAACCTGAACCGAAGCTAAACCTTTGGCAATTTAATCCGAGCATGTATAAAATTAGTTTTCAATTCTGCAAAGAGACCTGTTCAACAAAAAAGAGTAGAAAATCCAAGTATTAAGGATCTCGCGCAGGCCAACGCAGCAACTAAATTTCTTAAAACTTTAGTAGCTGTTTCAGCTAATTTTAATGAAATTGTTTGGACGCATGATTATCTTTTTTTGCGCTATTCTCTTCTCGAGAGCGTTCAAAAACCTTGCGGAAAATCTAGCATTTGTGTACAGAACGATTGTTTGGGGCGTTTATTCGTCAGTTCTAGCTCCCAGGCGGATTTCTATTCTATAAATTATTGCACTAACAAAATAAATCCGTCGGGTATAACTATATATGAATAAACTTCCCCTTCGGAATTATATCGTTTTAGTTACGCAACTGACTGGGCAAGAGAAAATTAATTGAAGTTAGAAGTTCAATATTGATTCTTGTTTTGTCGATTTGTTAATATCGCACGCGTCGTAAATTAGGGCATACGCATAAAGACCATATTTGAAACAAGTCGTAGGAGTTTAAAGCATTATTATATTAGACTTTATTTTGAAAATGTCAGAAGGGCGCGTATTCGGAAGTAAAACATTTCTGGACCAAGGTATGCAGTTATTTATCGTCTCTTTATGCTGATCAAAAATTCTCATTATTATTAGATGACTTCCAATCGAACGATCGCTAAGCGCTTTGTGCTGTTCTACCTCGTTATATGGTGTTTATATCAACTTGATGGAAATTCACTTTCTGCGCAAGCTTCAAGATGTGATCCACTCAATTGTCCCAAAAGCGCCAACTGTACAATTACAGAGAGATGCGATCCTACGTGCGATGAAGGTTACACGACCTGCGTCCAACTATGTAGGAACGAAGGGTGTTCGATGACATGCCACGCTGGGTTGGAGAAATGCCGGCAACTCAGTTATAATGGAGAATTATCCTGCGAAGCAAGCAACGAGTGTGTTCAGGAATGCAGAGACGGAGCATGCTCATCATCTTGCAACAATACTGAGGAGTGTGATCAGGGATGCAACTACGCAGCAAGTTGCATCGCAAAATGTAATGTTGGGGTAAAAAACTGCTCGCAATGGTGCAGGAATAGTAAAACCTGCCAACAAACCTGTAATGCCAGGGAGAAGTGTCAACAAATATGCCATAGAGGATATGGAGATTGCTCATTGTTTTGTAATACGGAAGTCTGCACGCAAGAATGTTACAAAGAAGACAGCCAAGCGACGTGTAACTCTAGAAGCGGAGCCAACGAGACGTGCAAACAGACATGCTATGGAGGAAACTGTTCATTATCTTGCAACTCGAGCGACTGTCAACAAGAATGTTACAAGGGAGGCTGTAACCTGACATGCAATTCTAAGAGATGTAATCAATCTTGTGATCACGGAGGTTGTGTTGCAACATGTGGCCCGGAGGTCGAGGAATGCACGCAAGAATGTAACGAAACAAAGTGCGTTTTACACTGCAATGCAAAAAAGTGTTTGAGAAAAGGCAGCCAATGGGTCCAGGATCTTAATCCAACTACAATCATCAATCCGAACACTAATCAGGAACTTAATCCAACTACAATCATCAATCCGAACTCTAATCAGGAACTTAATCCCACTACAACCATCAGTCCGAACACTAATCAATCAGTAACTGCAACAAGCACTACCAAAAATGGTTCGAAAAGTGAAGCCAGTTGTTTTGGTAAGCAATACGGCACCCTTCTGTTTCCTTTTCTTGTTGTCTTCCAATAAGTATAACGTATTTAAAGTGTTTAAAGTGAAAAATTAGGAAATGAATAGGTCGCTGATGTTTATCAGTGTATATGCATGCAGGAACAATTACGATTCTATTGAACCTAGTAATATTGTGATCGTTTTATAATCTTAGATTCACAGTGTAGTGGATGATTTTATATAAATAAAGAAAAGTTCAAAAATTGGAAGGGAAATATTTTGTGCACTAGTTAAGGATTTGTTACCAGTTCAGTTAAATGGAAAATGAACCAACTCAATCAAAAGCGGGTACCCTAACACCTGAGTTGCTTGTAGGCAGAGGCCAAAAATGGAGACAATTGCTGCCGGGTAGAGTAAGATCTTATAGGCGCTACAACGTGTGGATTACGTTTGATGACACTGTATACAATGCAATGAAATTATTGGTATAGATGGTTGATTCTGTTCGGGATGCCTAAGTTGCATCTCTAGCAATGTGCGCGCTTTGCCATTAGCCTTAAAAACATTTTTAATAATTATAATACGATTTTCTACCCAACTAAACGGTATGTGAAAGGCAGGAATATAAATTATCATCATGTATGTCAATCCATCCAGACTTTCGGTTGTTGTGCGATATTTCAAAGTTGCAGTAACTACTGCATTACTCTTTTCACTGTTTGTTCACATTTTTTATAAAGAAGGCTTTCTGATCAATCCTGTACGCATTAATTAATCCTGTTAATTAAACTAATCTATGTATGCAAGCCTCCGTGCTTAAAAGTAAAAAAAACAGGTTTTATTGAAGGAAGGTTAGAGAATTAAGGAAGTTTCATTTGATGATACTACACGAGAATAACTTTTAACCCCATCAGCCAGAAACAACAATTCAAGATAAATACTTCAACGTTTAATAAACTCGTAATAATTATTCACAGTCAGGGGATTGGAATTGACGAGCTTGTATGGCATTTTAATAGCTTATTTAAATACAAGAAATTGAAGTCTGTCCCCAGTCTCTTTTTTATTTTATCTAAAATACCTCGGAGTTTAAAGGTTTGGTTTGCGGTATCATCTATATTTTAGTTCTTTGAATTATTTTGTGGATCATTAGTGACTCGTTATTCCCACCTACGTTCAGATCGTCGTATACTTTTCTTTTCGTATATGAAATTATTCTTTCCAAATGAAATTTGACCGTAGTTTTCCTGTCGGGTTTTATTAGATGTTTATATGAAATATCGCTCGTTTTCTTCGCATGTGGATCATGAGTGTTCAAAAGCGCCGTTACTCCCACCCCCTGGGCCAGTGCGAGGACTTGCTTTCTGTGCCTTCCCTACATGGATTTTAATGTTTCATTGCTTGATATACCTGTCGATAATTTACTGTGCCCTGGCTGTGGCTGCTGGCTGCATGTGCTATTGTTTGCTGTGTGCTATAATCTTCCGTGTGTGCTGTATGGTATTTTTGCTTTTGGGGATTTCCTGAGTGCAATATTTGGCTGGATGCCTTGTTTGCAAACAAGTGGGCGTAGTCGTTTTTGAACGGTTTTTTTTCTCCAGTGATCACCAACAACAGCTATCGCCAACTTGCAACTTGCAATGCAATTCTACCTCTAAAAGATGTAAATTAGTGAAGAGTCTTGCAGACGAAAAGTGCATGAAGTGTAATAAAAACAAATTAAAGTTTCGTTGTTCCCAAATATACATCTCTCAAAAGTAGAATTGCATTGCAAGTTGTAGAAAACATTCCACCGTGTAACATTGCCTTAACCAAGCATAGGTTTTATTGCTTGGGTGTCCCCGAAGCAATATATAACTAGCCTATTGATCATGATATTTCTGGATAACTACGTGCGCGGGCTCTAATTAATATGCGGCTTGATATAACCCGCATATCCTATCAAAACCGGAAGGACGGACTATTTTTTCGCCCTAGTTTAGGGCAAAGTTTATGAATTCGGAACGTGGAAAGCACATCTCTTCATTTACAGAGAAAAAACGACTCATAGAACTCATAGCAGGCATTGTATAATTATAATGAATGCCTAACAGTGAATGCCTAACATTGCATTTAACCCTTGCTAAGCCTCTTGAAATATAGCCATTGTCACTCTTTAAAATTTCGACCAGTTAAACGCTGCTTTTCATACGTCATTATCCATGCATCATAAGTCGCCGTAATCTACATGTCGTAAAATTTGTTTTACACGACAATTATATGATCATCGATCTTATAAAGAACAGTCATATTTTTGATAATTTTTATTCACAATTCTCATTTTTTCATAATTCCCATTCATAATTCCCAAGCTGCCAAATGACATGCAACTCTAAGAAATGCAATCAAGTATGCGTTAACAAGGGTTGTGTTGCAACATGTGGCCCCGACGTCGAGGAATGCTCGCAAGAATGCATGAATGAAAATTGTGTGTCAGTCTGCGACGCAAAAAAACTGTACAAAGAAAGGCGGGAATTGTGTCCAGGATTTAAACCAAACTGCCATGCATCATCAAAGACAAGCGGTAAATATTTTTTGCGGGGTGATTCTAAGCGATATTTTGCCCATCCAGAGTGTCATTCGTAGTAAATTTGTTGCAAAAAAATTCTTGGCGGCTGGGAGAATTGCGGTATTTTTCTCATTCATGACACGTCTAACTGATATTAAACATGCTTGAAATGTTCTGTTACGAGTATAACAAAATTTCCTCAGTAGGTTAAAACAGTTAAAACACGCATATATGTCAGGACACAAGTAATATATGGCGACAGATTTATAGGATGATTAGGGTGAGGATGATTGATACAATCTTTAGGCTAGCTAGACCTTCGATTGTTTATAAATGGTTATATATTTATTTTATTCATAGAGTACCCATAAAAAATGAAGTGAAAAAAGTGTGATTCCTTGAGATATACTTTGCATTACAAAATTATAGAGCAGGTATATACCAATACAAAATTACAGACAATATATGCACAAATATGCATGCAGTGCAGTTGTCATGCCTACCTGCTAGTGTATAATATTTCACTTCACCAAAAAATGACCTCCTGATTATATTACATCATTCCTAAGCCCACTTTAGCATTCACGCTTTGCAACAGATAACATACAAAAGGAGGTCAGAGAAAAGGGTGTTTCATTGTGTGAGAAAATTAATTAGAGAATTGTGTATTGGCTGGTTAAGAAACGTGAAGGTATTACATGTAATTTTTTTGAAAATTTCGATGCAAGGGAATAATTTAGGACACCTGGTTACCAGATTGAGCGCATGTACTAATCAATTAAGACAATGTAGTTTGCTGGTCTCACTAGCTGTGTACAGCCGACAGTGGAAATTGGCGTTTTACGCCTAATCACAGACCCGACGCAATTTGGCTGATCAAGTTTTCCAGTTTTCGAAATCGAATATATTTTATCCTGTTATAATATTTTTAGGATTGACCTTAGATCATTTGACTGCTGTAGTGTCTGTATGTATGCACAGCTTTCAAAATGTGCTTTTAGAATAGACTTTATTTGCTTCTATAAACTGAAATACGCCGTGTTTCCTTTCCGCACTAAATCTGGTGCGTGTTGGCCTTTGGCTCACTAAGATCTTGTAAATGATAGTCATAATTTCCATTTTTTGAAAAAAGCCGAGTTTATTGTTTTACGACTGGTTTGATCAGCGAGGCATGTGCCAGTGTCTGAGTGCATGGCGTGATTTAATGTATTAATCATTCTATTTTAAATACATAGGTCTGTTTAGTATTTTTATGCCCAAATATACATTTTAGTATATAAGCATGTTAAACTGAAATGCGTCGTTTGCCGCGGCAAGTCTGGTTGCGTGTCGGCCTTTAGCTGGTATCGTTGCATGTCTGGTGTGTTGTGACATGTTCTATTCGATACAATTGCAAATGTTTGTTTAGTATTTTATGTTGTATTTAGTTTTGACCTATTTTAATTACTTGATTGAAAAGATTTAGCAAACCATCCTCAGATATGTGAAATATCAACCTCATGATTTTCTCATGATTTTCATAATGACCTGATTTGTATTCTGTTTACGTTTCTAAAAGATGAAACATGCATGGCTGCGCGTACATAATGATATTATGTTTCACATCAATCAGTAGCCGCGGAAGATCGTAATGGATTAAAATATTTATATATATTCATGTTATAACAGATCGTAAGAACAATAAGTTTTAAAATAGATGAACGGAAATACATAAATACCCCCTCCCCCCCCTCAACTAAACGAGCTTCGTGACCACTTTCACGAATTAGGAACGTTAAGCGTGTGGAACTGCAGCTTTCAATGGCTATGAATACAATGGGTTATTGATGTCGAGAATTAGCCTCCGTTCACTATCGTTTTGTCCTCGACAAGTCTCAATTCACACAATTTCGATTGGGTTTATGAAATATATTGATTAACAAATAAAATGAAAAATTATACTAAATCTTCACCCAAAATTCACGTGTGTAGCTATGTCGAATATCGCGTCTCTCGAGTCACAGACCGTTTCGCACATTATGACCCTCTATCACTAACTGACTCAAGTTTGTGCAGATCGCTTAGTTTACCCATATTGCTTCCCATTTCTGTGCAGTGCGTGTCATCACCTATTAATTCGTGCGCCCCGTTGTCGCTCAGTCCCGACATTGAGAAGAAATGAACAGTCAAAGACCTATTGGAGTTTTAAGGCTGTTTTGCCATTACTGATTCGCGGCGAAGCGGCCTTTGAAAATCTGCTCATCTTCTACGATTGATAATATGCATGCAACAACTTCTTACCATAGCATTTATTTAAAGGAGTTACCGCATTGAACTCCCGCTTAGAGAAAGTATATTTGAAGCATACACCACCTCGCTTTGCTTAATTATAGTTATGCAAATTTATATATTTAGATGATGCATATTTGCATATTTGTCTTATACCCGACAGATTTTGGAAAGCTATTGTTTCTATGGAACATAAAAAATATTTGAATGTACAAAAGTAACCCCCCCCCCCAAATAAAGCGGTTTAGCTAAGACCCTGGATCAGGCAACCATCCTTTTTTCTCGAGGATAAAAAGACGTAGTTCACCTTATTTTTTGTTTACCACAAAGCCTCCTATATTCTTTCCAGATGACTACAACGATCGCTAAACGTTTTGCCCTGGTGTTGCTCGTGCTATGGTGCTTAAATGAATTTAATGAAAAATCGTTTTCTGTGCACGCAATTTGTGACCGATACACCTGTCCCAAAACTGCTAACTGTCGAGGAGATAGCTGTAATCAACGTTCGTGTTCTGCAGATAAAACGACCTGCTCCCAAAATTGCCACAGCAAATTGAACTGTCGGACAGCATGCCGCGCTGGCGTTGAGAGATGCAATCAATATGGTTCTGGAATAATGACTTGCAAAGCGACGGAGAAGTGTCAACAAGGCTGCAGTGGTGAAAAGTCTTGGTTTTCATGCACACGTACTACGAAATGCGATCAAGAATGTTCCTATGGATGGTGCAACGCAATTTGCGGTTTTGGAGTGAAGAATTGCACGCAGAAGTGTTCGTACGGGCATTATTGCAGTTTTAAATGCGACAATAAAAACGAAATTTGCTCACAAGTATGTTCTTATGGCCATGGTTGTAATTTTGCATGCGTTTCCGGAGTCAAAACTTGTTCCCAAACGAACTCATATTCGGATAACAGTCAGCTGACATGCAATTCCAAGAAATGTAACCAAGTGAGCTCATATTCGGATAACTGCCAGCTGACATGCAATTCCAAGAAATGTAACCAAGTGAGCTCATATTCGGATAACAGTCAGCTGACATGCAATTCGAGGAAATGCAATCAAGCGTGCGATTACTCAGGTTGCATTGCAACGTGTATCCCTGGTGTCGAGAAATGCACGCAGGGGTGTTCGTACGGTGATTACTGCAATTTTACATGCGATGCCGGGATCAAGACTTGCTTGCAAAAGTGCTCATATTCGCATGACTGCCAGCTGACATGCAATTCTAAGAAATGCCATCAAGTGTGCGGTTACAGAGGTTGTATAGCAACATGTGGCCCTGATGTCGAGAAATGCACGCAGGAATGTCGATCGGGAAGCTCAAAGTGCGTGTCGTATTGCAAGGCAAAAAAATGTGTTAGAAGAGGTCGTAATTGGGTCGTGCGATTTAATTAAAGCACTACGTACGTTATAATATAATTCTTGTATGTCTTTAATGTATAAAATTCTTATTCTAATGTCTAAAAGTGAACAAATACGGGGGGGAACGCGGAAAGCGTTGGTGCTTTTGCTGAATGTGTATTGCATCATGCATGCATGTGCAAGTAATATTCTTTTCAACCTAGTAATGCTGTATCCCTTTTATAGTCTTATTCAAAGTGTAATTGGTGATTTTAAATTAAAAGAAGTAGTGTGAGTTATAGAAGGGTGTATAAAAAAAGGAAACACCTAATATTCACGAATATTCTTTTTTTTCAAAAGAAAAGACAAGGCTGACAAACCATTAATTGTAATCCCGGTCCAGTGGTCCAAATCTATTGTGCTTATAAGAGGTTAAGAACAATATGAATTTTAAAATATTAAATGGCGTGATTTATACACCCTGTAGTTTCAATGTTCCATTGTATAGTTCGTATAATTCGTGAATTAAAGCGCGTCTAAAGAAGGCATTTTGTCTTTTAGTCAGGCAAGCAACTAATCAAGTTGAGCAAGGTTATTTAGTTTTACTGACCCTGCACTCCCAAACCAAACCTCGTACGCTACGCCCCTATAGATAGGAATTAACTTATTAAAGGCAGTAGTTTTATCATGATTAAAATTCAATTGAGATTGACGCGTTAACGGCAGATTGGTATAGGAAGCGGCAAAACTTTGAATAACACATGAAAGTAACCCTACAGATTTTTGACAGCAAAGTTCACATTAATTCAATTTTGATGATCAAGATTTCCCAACATTGATCTGATCCGAGGTTTTCTGAAGACGCTGCTAAGCGGCTCCTTTTATGTATTGGGAACGTGTATTTTACGATTCCTAAGTGACCCACTTAAACCATCACGCTTCAAATCAGATTCCATTCAAAAGGAAGGTCGGAGAGAAGGAAGTTTCATTTTGTGAGAAATAAGGAAATTACGAGTACTATAGACTGGTTCAAGCACTCGTCAAGGTAATTACTATTAAATGCAATTTGTTTCAATTTTGGCAGATTTTGATACGAGATATGCTCTATCTCGCCTATATATTATTGCACTGAACTATTTTGATATAACCTTAACCGCACTAAACAAGACTATCTGGTATTCCGGCGCCACTTCAACATAGCTATATACAAAACGCTTTTCCGACAGTGCATGATAATCGGCGCAATTTGCCACAATTTTCCGAGTTTTTTGACTTCCAGAAGCGAATAAATTTTATCTTATAATAAATATCCTTGAGAATTACATAACGATATAGTATACCTTCATGCACGGCTCTGGGGCCAGTTGTATATAAAAGACCCCTGGTCATCTTTTAACTGTAGTTTTAAGGACGGAATTGGCCAATCAGAGTTGTGTATTTTTTATTTAACTACATATAGGATTTAACTAAGCAAAATGTAGTTAAAAAGTTTCATGCATGCAAGTATACAACCGGCCCTTGTGTTCGTAGCTTCAAAAAATCTGCTTTCAGAATTGAATGAAACCGCGTTCTAAAAACTGAAAATGATAGTTTGCTGCGCATGTGGTGTGCGAGTTTTCTTATTGAATATCTTATCACTGATATACAACTAATTATCATTATAATAGATTTTAGATCAGGGGGCGGTTGTGTAAAACTCTTAACTACAGTTAAATCAGAATACACGACTCTCATTAGCCAATTGTGTCCCTAACGTGCGGAGTTAAGTTACTATAGCCTATGCTTTCTAAGGAACGAAGCTATGCTATTGGTTGAGACAGAAATGTATTGTAAAGTTCAGCTAATGAAAATCATTCTTGCGAGGAGCTGCGACACTACCCGATATACGTATCACAAATTAATTTTTATTTTTAGATGAGTCAAACCACAACGATTGCAACCCGGTTTGCGTTGATGTGGTTCGTGTTACGGTGCTCACATCAATTTAATAAAACTTCATTTTTTGTGCACGCGCTTTGTGACCACTACACCTGTCCCCAAACCGCTAACTGCCGTGGAGATAGATGTAAACCCTCATGCTCCGCAGATAACACGACTTGCTTTCAGAAATGCGATAACAAAGACTGTGAGGCGACATGCCACGCCGGCGTTGAGAGATGTAATCAAGACGGTCATTACGGGGAAATGTCCTGCGAAGCCAAGGAGAAATGTCAACAAGAATGCCGCCAAGGAACCTGTTCGTTATCTTGCCGCAAGGCTAAAGAGTGCGATCAGAAGTGTTCTCATAGAAAGTGCAACGCAACATGTGGCGTGGGGGTCACGAATTGCACGCAGGAGTGTGTGTACGAAGAATATTGCAATTTTAGATGCGACGATGGAATCGAAATATGCTCATAAAGGTGCGCACATGGCGATAATTGCAACTCAACGTGTTATCCCGGAATAGACATCTGCTACCAAGAGTGCCTCTATTCGGACAACTGTGAGGTGACATGCAATGCTAAAATTTGTAATCAGGTGATCAAAGGCAGCAATTCTAATGCAACCTGTAGCTCGGATATAGGGAAATGCACGCAGAAATGTTCTTTTAGCGATTATTGCAACTTAAAATGTGACAATGGAATCGAGGCATGCTCACAAAAGGTCTCATATTTGGAAAACGGCCAGCTGACATGCAATTCTAAGATTTGCAATCAAGATTGCGAAAGAGCAGGTTGCATAGTAACATGTAGCGCTGATGTCGAGGACTGCACGCAGAAGTGTTTTCTTGGCGATGGTTGCAATTTCAAATGTGATAACGGAATTACGAACTGCTCGCAAAGATGCTTATATTCGGATAACTGCCAGCTGACATGCAATTCCAAGATATGTCATCAAGTGTGCGATTACAAAGGTTGTATAGCAACATGCGGCCCTGGTGTCGAGGAGTGCACACAGGAATGCCAAAAAGGAAAGTGCGTATCACACTGCAACGCCAAAAAATGTGTTAAAAAAGGGCAATGGGTGGATGGATTTGATTCAACAACTACCACTAATCCAAACGCTGATCTAATAAATAGTGGCAAAATTGGTGTAACATCAGTAACTGTAACTCCAAACACTAACTCGCCTGCTAGTCCAACCAACACTACCAAAAAAGGTATGAAAATCTGTTTGTTTGGGTAAGCGATGCAGCATTTTACTGATTAAAAATATATTTCAATTTCAGAAATATTTGAGATATCATTTTTTGATATATTATTTTTGAGATATCTCAATTTGAGATATTATTATAAAATATACAGTAGGAGGCAAAAGTTTGAGTCCAGTGACTGTATTTCTTTGTTTCAGCAGCATATATTAATATTCTACAGAAAACCTTACCGATAAGTGAACTAGAAAAAAGTAAACAAGTAAACAGAAAAATACATGCTGTACAACAACTATGAGATGTTATGATATTCATTTTTACGTATTTTAATGTGCAAACATGCATTTACATGTCATTGCTTAGTTCCCTCTTTTTTGCTCTTGAAATGACCTTTATTCTTGCTCGCATAGATTCCATAGGTTTTTTAATGTCACACGTTCAATACCTTGCCAGCATTCGTTGACCACTTGCCTCAAGTCAGCCTGGCTGGCGGGTCTGTGCCTCGCCCTCTTCCGGTTAAAACGGTTCTACAAGTGCTCCATAGGTTTTAGATCTGGAATATGAGGTGGAAAGCCATGACAACGAGATCACCAGAATGAGTTTGCTTCTAAACGATTTCTGGCACATAGAAGATGTGCATGTGCTTAGGGTGATTATCATGTAGTTAGACGTGCGATCATCTTTGTACCAGATGAAATTCCATGTCCTTGAAGAATTGGATGATACTTTTCTTTAATTAGGATCCTATTATATCTTTCAATATTGCCAAACCGAGCATGACCAAAGCAGCTAAAAGTTTGCTTGAGTAGGATTTAGTTTCTTCGAACCTCTCCAAGGTTAGTTGCATACCACCTTTTTAAATTCTCACTTCTTCTGCGATCTTACGAGGAAAGAATCCTTCAATACTTAATGGAACTATTTGTCCTTGTGCACCATCACTTTGCCCTTTTTCCTACCCATCTTGGGCAGTGTAAAGGAATGAGAACTTTATTTTGTTATAATTTAGATCATTAGGACCAAAACAGTGTGCAATTAATATAGTTTACAGTACTGAAACACTAGCACGCATGTCTTAACTCCAATACGCTGCCAGGATTTAATACTGGAATTCTACAACGACTGGACTCAAACTTTTGCCTCCTACTGTATCTCAATTTGAGAAAGATTATCCCGCTATAAGAAAATGTTTCTCATATGTGTGAAAAAATCTTGATAGAATATTTTTTCCAGAATAGGAAAAAATCTTCGCTATAAATAAAAAGTCATTGATGAAAATATTCCTCAATTGGCAAATGATATATACAGGTTCTTAAATTAATCCTTCACATCAAGAAACGACTAGTTTGCCCAAGGAATGCGAAGATATCTTATAAGGTAATGCTTTAACATAAGGCATGTCTTAATGGACTTCATGTCCAAACGGCCAACCGATTCAAAATTATATGTGTGTCTTCATTTTTAGCATTCTCGTTACTTAATGTTTATACCCCTTTGTTTACATGTTGTATATTTTTAATAATTTACACAGAATAAATTAAAATTAAAATTAAACTACTCCTCTATATATATAGATTCTCAGAAAGATATATACATTAAGTTCGTGTCGTGGTGTCTTTTCAAGATAAGTAAGTATGCGAGTATCGTAGATATTTTAAGAATCTATTTCTTATCTAGGAATTCTAAGAATTTTTTTCTTATCTTTTTCTCTTATCTTATCTAACTCTCCACGTCAAATTTCTCATCTCAAGAAAATTATTCAAACTAACAATTGCGAGCCGTCGCGAGCCAATATCAAGGCAATCATCAGCAGAGTTTAACATTCGAATAATTGTAATAAACTGTCCATTATAATGTGTATTATTATGTGTTTTGTTATAAAATCTGTAAAATGGAGCAGGTTAGACAAACTAAGGTGCATATATGTTAATAAAATTGATAAAAAAAAAGAATCTTAAA